GAGGAGGAAGAGGAGAGGAGGAAGAGGAGGGAGGAAAGGGGAGAGGAGGAGGACAGGTGGGAAGAGAGAGGAGGAGGGAGGAGGATATAGAGAGGGGAAGGAAGGGAGGAAGAGAAGCAGGAGGAAGAAGGAGAGGGGAGGCAGGATAGAAGAGGGAATTAGAGGAAGAATCGAGGAAGAGGAGATGGAGAAGAACAAACAAAAGGACAAAGGGGAGAGAGATGATAAAATGGGAGATAGAGATAAAGTGATAAACCGTAGGAAGAGAGAGAGAGAGAGAGAGAGAGAGAGAGAGAGAGAGAGAGAGAGAGAGAGAGAGAGAGAGAGAGAGAAAGATTAAAGAAGGAGATAAAGAGAAACAAGGAAGAAGGGATAATTAACAACTCGATAAAGAGAGGGACACAAACACAGACGGATAAACGCGACAAAAGAAAGAAAGAAAAGGAGGGAGGGAGGGAGGAAGGAGGAAAAGAAAGAAAGAAAGAAAGAAAGAAAGGGAGGAAGGAAGGGAGGTAAAAGAAAGAAAGAAGGAGGAGAATAACACGATGAAGAGGCGATGAAGGCAAAGAGATTATGAGAGATAAAAGAGGAGAGACGAGGGAGAGATAATGTGAGAGATTAAGGACAGCGATTAGCAGAGAGAGAGAGAGAGAGGAAAGAAAGAAAGAAAGAAAGAAAGAAAGAAAGAAAGAAAAAGAAAGACATCACGTTAAGATATAGTCAAAATACAAAAGCTACCTCCTCCTCCTCCTCCTCTACGACATAACTAAGAGTGAGTCATATACAAGTATTTCCCAAACACTTAGCGTTACCATCTTCGAGTTACACCTTGAGTTAATTAGCTCCATTACAAGTCCACTCACACAGGTAACAGAAGAAGCTCACACTAACACAATTATATACTAAATGTTAACACCTGTAGCGAGGAAAATGACCCAGGAATAAATCATATAAAAATGTCCCCCCCTAAAAGAATGTGACAGACAGCCGCCAGGTTAATTTGATTCTCGTCTTATCGTGATCAGGTAGACACGCGGAGGAGTCTCACCTGTTCTAACTCAGACATTTGATTTACCGTTGGTTATGATATGATGATGATGATGATGATGATGATGACATAAACAACAATAACAACAATAATAACAACAATACTAACAACAACACTAATAACAAGAATAACAACAACATCAAACACAATAACAATAACAACAACCATTAGCAGGTGTCTCTGGCCCAGGTGTGGGAAAAGCCTGGCCAGTATGATCTACCTACCATCCACCTGTCAATTATTTAAGGCCAACGACCCAGCCTCTATTCATGGCCTGCCGCTGAGGTCAAAGGTCGGCAGGTCACATTCAAGGTGAACTATGGATTAACCCTACTCGTCCGGAACACAAAGAACGCCTGGGCTCTTGGGAGGGCGGGGAGGCTTGGGAAGGAGGGGAGCACGTAAGAGGAGGAGGGGGGGAGCACGTAAGAGGGAGGAAGGGAGCACGTAAGAGGGAGGAGGGGGGCAATGCAAGAGGGAGGAGGAGGAGGGGGGCACGTAGGGGAGGGAGGAAGGGGGATTGTGGAGGTGGGAACGTTGGTGATCGGAAAGAAAGTAACAAGAAAAAACGAAAAAGTAACAAATTTTGCTCGTAAAAATATCAGTGGTAGTATAAATTTACTGGAAAAAAGTAACAGCATATACATGAAATAAATAAAAACATATATATAGGCATCTTAAAAGTCTGTCACAACAGTCTGCACCTGCAAGCAAAGTTCAACTCAGAGCAAAGTCACACGAAACATAGGTTGTGCTGAATGGGAGGACTCGAAGTGCGTACACCTGTGTAAACTAAGTTGGTGCCATCTTGAAAGTGCCATACATGAAGATGTCCTGCAGCTGCCAGCCGATGAAGGTTTCCCCATACCAAAGGCGATGATGCGACTGTTAGCTTCTGGGTCATTGTCGTAAAGGAGGAACTTCTCTGGGTTGGATCCAAGAGCCTTCTTCTAGTCATCCGCAAGGTGAAGTCCCGAAGATTCTCAGGCACGGGAGGAGTACGCCTCGAGTACCCTAGAGAGCGCTTGGTGTTCTCCTCAGAAGGAAAGCGCCTCTGTACAGCCTTGTTTTGTTGGGTAACTGTCTGGGCAAACATAGTGCCTGGCTTGTCCAAGGAGGAGGCAGCCTTTAGACACCGTTACTGTACATTGGTCTCATCAGCAGCATGATTGTGAGGCCGGCCTAGTTCTGGGCTATCCAATTCCAGTGTAGTGCTAAGACTGGCTTTACAACCTGAAGTGATTATCAAAATGAAATACAAAAGTATATACCGTCAACTGGGGTAATCGGGCCCCTGATAGCACATACTGGCAACACATTTTCTTACCTCGACTCCCATCCTGTGAACACTTCCACCAGATCTTTGTCTTCCTGGTGCGTGGCCGTGTGTACGTGTGTCCCTGGGAGCACATCTTCTCGCCGTCCTTGTTACTCCTATGACCTCCATGGCAG